GTGTCATTTCGCAGGCCCTGGGCGCTGATTGGTGGCCAATGTATCCATTTCCCCCCGCGGCCGTTCCAAAGGGGCGGAGCTTCTCGCTGGGGTTCTAAGCCGTCGACGCACGCGCAGGAGGGAGAAGGGGCGGCTGGGTTCTCCAGGGGGATGGGGTGACCGCCGACCGTCGGTCAAGGCGGGCAGGGGATGATGGGAGTTGCAGTCTACCCTCTCCGGGAGGGCGCCAGGTGGGAAAAGGCGGCAGGTCCGCTTCAGGATGCAAAGGCGTTTTTGTTCAATTAGCTAGCCGTGGTTTTATTACCAGGGCTGGGGAGCCTCGTTCTGATTGGCTGAAGCACAACTCCGGGAAACATGGCCGACTCTGAGCGGTGCTGGGAGTTGTAGTTCAACGAGACATCTCGTGGGACACCTTTCCCCAAGCCTTATTCCTAGGATCAGCCCAACATTGCACAGAATGTGGAAACTTCCCATTTCAGAAACCATCATCAGGGCTGTGTGTGTGTATATTTTTTTTCCAATACTATTTTTGCCTGATGAGTTTTCAAAATGGAATTATTCACCTTGGCTGCAAACCAACTTCATTTTTTTTCCTCTGGTTAAACACCGAGGGCTAATTAATAACCACCTTTATCCCTACAGCCTTCTTCTATCTCAGGCAATCCGTTCTGGAGCTTCAACCCTGCTTTGCTCTTTGCTAGAGCAAAATGTAGAGATTTGAATGGCAGGGCTTTAAAATATATATATATATATATACGCTCCACGTTTTTTTAAAAGGAATATCTTTGCAAATACATCATTAGGGCTGTCAAAGAGGCAAGTTCTGGTCTGCCCTATTTCTATACTTCCTACCTGAAAGGAAGGGGTTTGGTTTGCTTTTACACAGGGGAAAGTATTGAAAATAAATCCGGTATTTATCGGAGCTGAAAATGGTATCGTTCATTCTATGGCCCCGGATCTCTAACATTTCCGTCCTTGTTTGCACCAGATCGGTTCAGAATGACATCGGTTTAGGATTCCCCAAGTCGCAATAGTACTTCTATTGATCCTCTGCTTCTTATTAAGTGCTGTGGAGACATAGGATGACAATGAATGCGATAACATTTTAAAATCAATTACAATCGGAGTGATGAGAGATGATGAATAATGATAAAAAAATTAAAAAATAGGGTTTTAAATATCAAACAGGTGAGTGATGTGCTTTTCCCCCCAGTCACCTGGGGGAAAACAATGTCCTCCCTGCAGATAGAAAAGTAGCATCTCAGGGCAAGGGCTGGTCCACATTCATTGTGCTTTATCTATGCAAAAGGTCCTTTCTAGGTGAATGGCCAACACCTTCTACCCCCACAGGGCTCTTTTAACTCAATGTGCAGTATGCACAGATCCATTTTTCTGGGTTTATTTGGCAGCTAGAGGATGATGGGAACTGTAGTCCAACAGTTCTGCTGCCTTCCAGAAATTGAGAATCTTGGCTTCCCGAATTGAGACAAACCCTCCAAAGGGGTTGGATGGATGACAGGTCCCATCATCCTCTTTGGCATGCTATCTGGGAATTATGGGGATTGTCCAAGCCAGCTGGAGGGCACCAGGTTGGAGGATGCATGGACAAACATAGATATATAATAGTATTTAATAGCAGGTATTATGGATTGAAAAGATAGTGCTTTCTTTGTAAAAGGTTCATGCCTTTATACCAGCGTTTCTCAGCCTTGGTGGCTTGAAGAGGGGTGGACTTCAACTCCCAGAATTCCCCAGCCAGCCTGGCTGCCTGGGGAATTCTGGAA